GCCGCAACAAAATGCATCATCACTTCTCTCAAAGAAACACTGCTGCCCGAGCCGCAACAAAATGCATCATCACTTCTCTCAAAGAAACAGTGGCTAACATTCACGTGGCAGCAGATGTGAGCCCGTGCGGACTCACACAGCCTCTGGCTTCACACAGCACCGCGACTCACACCACGTCTCCCCATCGGCTCCACTCTGACGCAGGCCAGCTACATTATTACACCGAGTACGCGTTCCCTGTTACAGGCTGAGCTGCATGGACAGCAGGCATGCTTAAAATTATCTGCCGATACTAAGGGAATTCTGAAAGGGTTTACACCACGATGATTTATCCGCGTTTTGTTCCTAAAATCACAGATTAGCATTCAAAGTATTATCACTGCAACAACTTCAATATACTCTGATAAAACTCCATATTTAAGGTCCGAGTACAGTATGCGGTACATTTAAATGTCGATTAAAATGCATTAATTTCAGAAACCCAATCCTGCCACAATGTCCTTCTTAAGAATTATTTTTAGAAATAAAAACTTTACCTGCTTTGTAGTTATCAAAGCCATCTTCGTAATCAGAGGCGACTCTCCCCCACATTGTAGTTTGCGCGATGGCTCGATTGCGGTGGTACAACCGAGGGGCAATTCCAGCCGACAGCAGGCAAGCGCAACCCAGGGATCTGGAAGCAAACCGCTAACTGCAGCCCATGTTTCGGTGTGGCGAGCGGACGGTCCACCGTTTGAGGAACCCGGTTTTCGTGAGATAAGCGTTTCAGACAATCCCAGAAAATCGGAAACCGTCTCTTTCAGGGCTGTAATCTGGGTACCACGCACGGCGCACTCGCTGGCTGCTGTAATCCGAGGATGTGATCTCACGGCCACAGCCGCTCCGGCGTCTCCGGGGAAGGCTCAATCAGAGCACTGTCTCCTCCCACACCGCTCAAAACTGACGGAGAAAGAGCAGCACCACGACCAACAGGAAACAAGCTGTCGGTTCATGGAGAGCACATTCGCGCACGCAGAGCGCCCGTCTCCTCTCGTCTCCTCGGCGGGAGGAGAGCCTGCCCGAACCGCAACCAGGTGATGTTTGTGACGCTATGGTTGCGTTTCAGGGCGTCACGCTCGCGTTCCCCAGCTCTCGATTACTGTAAGGCGTGAGGCGCGCTCAAAATAGCAGCTCGTATTGCAAAATATCGCACTGCCCGACCACCGACCAGCCAAGTGTTTAACTACATGGAAATAAATTAAATTGTCATTTAACAAACGTGATCCAGACTATGTTGGGTTATTCTGCAGCTACACTATTCCGTCTATAATGTTAAGGAGCATACTAACTACATTATTATTTCAAGGCAATTTACAAATTACACAATGTATATTCTAACATCATAACATTGTTTTAAGTAGTTATTAAACATTGAATGTGTTTGTGATTTCCTATCTTTGAAAATGTGTAGAAACGCTCGTGAAAAGAAATCTAAGACTGAATTAGGTGTAACGCATTGTCCTTTCCTAATTTGCTGGAAAATGATAGATATGGCGAAGAAATGTTGATTTCCCCGTTCACCTGTAAAATCCATGAAATCGAAAGCATAAAAAATAAATTAAAAACATTTGCTGAATAAAAAGGGCTGTGGGAGTGTGGAACAAGCTACCCTAGCCCTGCTGTTGAACCCGATATCCCGCTTCTTTCACATAATAGCCGGCTGCAGTCCTTTGATTAATTTCCTACCTAAATACTGAACCAAATAGCGTCTTCTCGTTTTATCTAAACAGATTTATCAACGTAGGTTCAAAAGGAGTGAATACAGAAGTGACTAGATTAATACAAGTTTGATGACCGTCCTTTTTGATACAATTTTGCAAGTGTTTTGTTTTGCATTATTTCGAAATTCTCCAATTCCCGGTGTAAAAAAAGAGCTGAAATTGACCCAGGTTTATTTAAAGACAAGACAGGATTTCTCTGCTGTGACCTGATGAGCTTGCAGCTCGTCTTGAATAACCCCTTGGTCAGACACTGGAGTACAGTACCTGCTGTAGGCTTTCCAGTGAACTGCAGCGCACACGGCTCATCCTGCACCGTCCCCGGGGTCGTGCTCTGTGACCGCTTCGCACTTGGTCCTGTTTCATCGTTAAACAGCGCCTATCCACATGTCAAATACTATATTCGAAACTGCTTTGAAAGGTAATTACACGAGATAGCTGCATTTAATTACCGCTACAACGTGTTTTATAAACTAAACATTCCAAAACATAAATCAGCTTAATATGCGACCTGCAACCAATACAGTACGTATTTTCAGTTCAACCATTTGAAATGTACTTTTTTTTTACTTGTTCAAAAACTGTTTGACCGTTGAGAAGCAAGATTGGGAACTTGCGGTTCTTTCTTTTAGTTAAAATGAATTTCTTGTCTAGGAGAACTACCAATGTCAATCAACCACAATCATGATTTAGCTATAATCTATTCCTTAAATCTTATTATATTTATGCTCTATAGTCCAGTTTCTACAATTTTCTTTCCAGAACAACATAAACATAACTTAATACTGTAGTACTTTCAACACATTTATTAAAATAACAAATAACATGCCCTACTAAAATATTAGAGAACAGTATGTTCCTCATTAGTGCATGCAGGGCACACTCAGACACGCACCAGGGCCAGTTTTCCCAGAAGCCAGTGAACCTAACAGGTTCTCCCTGGATTGTGGGAGGAAACCAGAGGACCCAGAGGAAACCCACACAAACACAGAGAACGTACAAACTCAACACAGACAGCACCACAGGTCTGGAATTGAGCCCAGGGCCACAGCAATGCTAACCACTGCATCACCTTGCCACCCATTAGAGACCCATTCTCCCTAAAGGAGCTGAAATGGCACAGTTTTCCATGACTCCTGAGGACTGTAAAGTAATCGTCAATCAGGCCGTTCATTGGTGTTCTTTGGGAATGGAGCCTGATGTGTTTACTGGTGTACAAGCCTGTGGTGAGTCACTGAAGGAAGCATCACATCTGACTAATGTGTCAGTTCTGACTTGAGGGTTTATTGACAGGAACTGACATGAAACACAAACCACCAACAGAAAGTGGAACTGGGTCTTGAAGACAAACTTGAGTCAAAGGGATAGACTCTTCCTGTCTTGTGAGACAACCACTGAAAAATTTCATATTTCCACTAAGCTGACCTCTGTGAATGTCCAGAAATTTCCAGCACATTGCAGGTGTAATTGACATTTTAGGAGCACCTTACCAGTTTTTTGGGGGTTGTTTGGGAGGATATTCTGTACTGTTTTAGGAGGCGATACTAAAACCATACTGTACATAAGTCAAATACTACAAGTAAAAGAGACTGATTAGTGGTTTCCTTCCTTGACAAAAAAGAGTAAAGCATTTTAGATTACGCTGTGCCACTGGCCCATCTGCAGTTAATAATCTGGGAAGAGCTTTAAGAAAAATTGCCAGCTGAGAAAGTGGGCACTAGGACAATGTTCTCATTCCTATTGTACTCCCGGAGATTGGAGTCACTCACGTCATGCTCCTGCCCTCAGTGCTGGTGAAGACAGAGAACAGAGGCAGCACACTGGCGCTTATGACACCTCAGCTCATTTGCAGCCTCAGCACCAGTTTCGTTTATCAGAATGCAGTCACAGCTCTCCAGGCACTACCTTGCCTGCTCTAATAAGGACACTGCGATAGAGCGATTTCAAGCTCAAGCTGGTTCAGCCTTTCTTCTCTGTGGAAATTAGCGGGTGGGTACTGGAAATGCACAGAAGCAGATTAACAAGAAGTTATTCGTTCATTGCCTACTGGACATTTTACTAATAACATAAATAGGAACATTTGCATTTGACAGGAGCTCATTCAGACCTTCTAACCTGTCTGGTAATCTCCCTCATTACCAGGCAATCAGTGTGATCTAGCGAAGAGCAGTTTCCCTCAATACTGTCCCCTGAGCTAATGATATAATAACATAAAACAAATGAAAGAATGATCTGTCTTAAACCATATTTGAGTAGTTATAGCGTAATACATGACTTCTTAAATCCTTGTTTTAATTCTATGAAGGCCTTTTTTATTTTATATTTGTGATCATCAGTGGAAGTAAAAGCTATTATTTCAGTTTTTTTTCTTCCGTTCTAATCTTTTCATCACAAAACAATGACCTACACAGAGGTTCTGTAGGTTTATATGACACTGATTGTTTCAGAGGCAAGTGTTTCCCGTAGCACCCTTTATAATAGAAAAAATAAAGGAACCAATTTACAAGAGGGGAAGCCGAATATATGAGGTCAAACTTCCATGTGATAGAATGAGGTAGCAAATCAGCAGATTTCGGTACAGTAGAATTTTTTGTCAAAATTCATCAATTATAATTAAATGCTCTGGACCAGTAATTAATGTTTTAAAGTCACAGAAAGGGACTCACAAATAAAGCAAAGAGGCACTGCTGGATATGATAAGATAACTTTATCAGCCATATACAATTTCTTGCATTAGGAATTTGTCTTTTCATAGACCCCAGCTTGTTCTCCATGAGACACACTGACAGGGAGAGAAGCTGGGGGTCAGAGCTCAGGGTCAGCCATTTATACAGCGCCCCTGGAGCAGTTGGAGTTAAGAGTAGGATTCCTCTGCCAGCCACAGGATTTAAACCAGCAACCTTTCAGCCACAGGCACAGATCTTTAGCTACAGAGCCACCGCACCACCCACAAATATGAGAAATATATAATAAATAACACAAGGAATGAAAGTATACGGTATACAATAGGTACAGTAACTACTGTACATGAAAATCAACAGCTCCTTTACAAGGCTAGTGACGAACATATTGTGCAATCCAATGAGTACAAGAAACATAAAAGAGATGGAGAAGTATCTATGTTAAGCCACCCTGGAGTAGTTATTGCATACATTTTCACTCCTTGGTTCCTTGTTTTAATTCTCTGAAGGCCTTTTTATATTTTGTACTTGTTTCTTGCCTCAGAATCTTCCCCTAGTTATGCTGAGGTTTTTTATGTAATTTATAATTATTTGTATGTACAGTATATGGTGCCTTTTATAGCATAGGAATTCATATTCTAGGGATCCTCTTCATCCACACTGAAGTGCAGCACCCTGCCCACTACATGGTGCCGTACCGAGTGTGTGTAAGCCCAGAACATCACTACTGCTCCTTGTAAAGAGTGCCTTAGGGGATTGTGGTGGCTCTGTGACTAAGGATCTGTGTCTGTGGCTGGAAGGTTGCTGGTTCACATCCTGCACTCAGCAGAGGAATCCTACTCCATTGGGCCCCTGAGCAAGGCCCTTCACCCTAACTGCTCCAGGGGTGCTGCATAAGTGGCTGAGCCCCAGTTTCTCTCCCTGTCCTCTGTGTCTCATGGAGCGCAAGTTGGGGTACTAGAAAAGACAAATTCCTAAAACAAGAAATTGTATATGGCCAATAAAGTGATCTTATCTTTAATGAGCTTGGTTTAACATCACAGAAAAACAACAGGAATGAGTGCTTTTCTGATGGCTTAGGACATAGTTTAGCAACTGAAATCACCCACATTTATTGGTTCCATGTGTACAAGCACAGCAAACATCACAAAAGACAGCCAGACGCAAGTTTCCCTGGTCTAATCACAGTAATCACATGGGAACAAAAAACACAACATTACTCAGATGCAAACAAGGAAGCACATTCTGACTACGTCTTTCTGCAAAGAAAACTCTAAGGACTTCACAAATGCAACAACTAGTGAAAAGGATATTAAGGAGTTACAGCTGCAGAACTGGATGTCTGATGCTGAGGTCCTCACACATCTGTGTTGTGGTTTTCTTCTTGGTGGCCAATTGTGCAACACTAACACTATAACTGAAGTAGACTACATGGCATCTCTAAAGTGATATTTTTGTCTCACTTTTGAGACACTAACTTTTAATATTTGTTGCAGAGCACAGCAGCTGGACTGTGACTTCAAAATTAACTCAGAAATAGAAACAACAATGTTAATAATAACAAAGTAGACCATGCACAAAAGCTTTGAACTACCAGTACATAAAATATTCTCCAATTATGATAGTCGAACC